ACAGAGACAGAAATTAATAGTTGAATAAATGCATTATTTATTATTTATTTTTTTTTGTGCGCAAAAAGTATTCTCGTCGCTTGATAAACTTAAGATTGAGCCTAGTAACTCGGACTATTTTAAAGATGTCTTTAATAACTTTTCTGGGCCGGCAAGTATCAATCCCTTGGAAGCCTATGGAGGAGTGATCCAGCTCTCAGATTTAATGACAAATATCTTAATTTGTGTTCCGAAGATGAACGAAGGTCTTACGGGGTTGGAACAACATGAGCGTGAGTAATTACTGACAGAATTTTCATTTTTGAGTGAACTATCCCTTTAAGAACATCTTTATGTGTATTTCATAATTACTTCTTTTGTCTTTGAAATATGGTTAAAGTATACTTAAAAAATAATTTAATGTAATTTATATTAAAACTTGTGCCATGTATTTGTATATTTTTTGTAATGATGAAACTGCAATTTAGTGCTAGTACTAGTTAATAATCAAGTACTTTACATGTGCTTTAGTATGTTAGTCAACACATCAATAAGTGCACTTCCTTAAAGCATGACAAAAGATTATTAAAAGATAATTATTTAAAATGTACTTTAAAGTAAAACTTTTAATTTGACTTTATTACAAAGTGCACATTTTAAAAGTGTACTTAAGTGTTACGAAACAGTGGTGAAAGTCAATTTAAGTAATCTTAAGTGCACGTGCAGATAATAATATTAAAAGTATCTGAAAGTTCAGGTATTATTATAAGTGCAGATATTATAACAAGTATAGAAAATATACTTTTAAGATTTGAAGTACACTACAAGTGCACATTCAATACAATTAAGCACACTTGTTTTTCACAAGGGTTTGAATGGTCGGATCGGATTTTAGTGTTATGTTCAGGGCTTAGCGTCTAGCTCAATTCACAATGTCTCTAGTTGTGTTCTAAGACAAGTCGCCCATTTTCGCTCACTTTTTAATATGTAGTAAACTATGTGACATTGACAATATGCTTCATGTGAATGAGTGCACTGAAAGAGTAAAATACACCCCATGTGTCTCAGTTGCAGTAGCTTAGCATCATGCTAATGCTAAAGTCATTATAATAGTGATCAACGTGGATACACTGTACTGGATATTGATTACAATGTGTTAACAAACCAATCTAATCACTTGCAACATTATAACATAGACAGTCAGTCCCGGATTTATGCACTGTGTGAACAAGGCCTAGTTTTCACTCCAAAACGAGTTGAGATGCTAGCTCATGGCTCCCGCCTCCATCCATCTCAAAAGACCTCTTTTATGCTCTTTCTCTAAATCACATCTGCTCAGCTATCCTCTCAATCTTGGTCTGTTCATCTATCTGTTTGTTCATTCATCCACCCGTCCATATCTATATATACACTGTATATCCATATTGCATGAACAAATGAGGGCATATGTTTTTCTTCTCCACAAAACATGCCTGAGTGTGAACAGTAAAGCCTGTAATGACATTCAGTTGAATATTGATTAGATATAAAAGGCTTAATTTGATTGCTGATACATGTATATACTGCAGTAATCAATAGGCAAAGCTTCTATGATAATTACAGTTAGAGGTTCATTTTTTCCCCAGTGTTTGTGCTTAACGTTTATGAAGTATACTTTTACTACAATACATTTGGATAAGGTTTTAAAGGATATAATTGCAGCTGTGAACTTCCCACTATTAAGAAACTGCATTACATGGCGAAGGTGTTTAATAAAGCTATAGCTTTTGTTAAGACAACAATGAAAGCAGCGGACTCTTGGAAAGTATCGTCACAAAGCTGTGTTTTGTAGGCTTTAAAATTATTTGAAATCTCAAGAGTATTACAAATGTACAGACCAAATGTCATGGTGAATATATAAAACAACAATATATTCACAATTTCAGACACAACGAGGCAGCTATGGAGATGCTATTAAATATGATACTTTGAGAGCATCAGTAAAACGCATTTTTCTATCAAATGCTTACTAAAATTACAACATCTTGAGGATTCCTTTGTCTAAATTGATGGGATGATTTGTAGCCCTGGCAGTGTAAGCGGGCTTCTCCAATTACTGCATACCATTCTTTTGCATGGACAAACATTATACATGGGTTTCTGCATGCATTCAACAACACACATGAAAAAAAAAACAACAACAATAAGAAAGGTGATGAACAAGCATCCTCATTGAAGTCAATACAACAGGACTCAGCGGTATCATTGAAGGTAAATATGAGAGAAGGACGAAAAAATACAGTTTGATTCTAAACTGTGCAAAGTTGATAATGTAATGGAGGCAAATCATTGTATGTATGAATAAATGTAACAAATAAGTCCACATAACCTTTTTTTTTGTTTTTGGTGTCACAAACCCCTCTTACTTACTTGCTCTAATCAATTGATTTCAACCCCCACAATTATTTCTAGTCAAATATCGATATTTTCCACTTTTTTCCTTCACCATATCTGTTTAGGGGCTCCGTAGATTTGTAACAAGGATGTTGTCATATTCCGGACACAAATTTAATGTGTAATGTCTTTTCTAGAGACAAAAGGTGCCATTTCACCGTTAGGCCAAACTGTTCTCTTTGCTTAACCTTTTCATTCCTTGCCGATCCGTCCCAGCCTGTACAGATATGTTTAATTTTCCACTGTGGGGCTGATAACAGATCTCTTTGGAATGTAATACAAATGCGCCAGTGTAAGGCAAGAGTTTACAGACAATATGAGATGTAAATAGCGATCGCGTTATGGTGGATGATCAGGTATTTCTTTTCATTTTATTATTAATTTGTGTTTACGGCGCTCAAAGAAACTGGCAGTCAGACAAAAGACAAGTGACCAATCATGAGTGGCGACGCCACTAAACACATTCTACTAGAGCGCGGTTCAGTCAATCGTGCCGAGAATTCCAGGCTGAGAATGGTTTGTAATCGTGCCGGGCCAAACCAGGCTCAAGTGTAAATATAACTGGGATCAGTCCTTTCCATTCTTAGTCGTTCGGCCCGACGGTGGAAAAGCAGCTAAAGAAATGCAGCATATCCATTAAGGCTGAACATAAAAGTAATGGCTGCAATAAAGTCTGTGAGACACTTCTGCAATACGCTTATAGCAATCTCTGCTTTAACCGGTAAAAACCTAGCTAAAACTAGTGAAAGCAGTTAACATGGCTTAGCATGGATTCAAACATCCCTTACTCACTGAAGCTCTGGGCAGGGGAAGAAAAGTGTTATTCGGTTATGATGTCCTGTATTTGGAAAGAGTGGAGTGAATGGCGCACCACGTTCTTGGATATGGCAGTACTGCCTCAATAAGAAGCTAAGAGCCAGATTTACTAAGAGCTTGCGCCAGCGCAAACCCTCTATCGGGATTTACTAAAGACACACAGTCGAAAATGTGTTGACAGGGTTATTTTTGCAGCTGACCTTATTGCATATGCATTTGTATGAGTTTCCCTTTCAGACGCAAAATTTATGAGAGTAGAGTGTTTAAATGAATCGTGCAAGGTGATTTACTAAGGTTTGCGCAAGTCAATTTACTGGTATTTGCGCCATTATTTACCACCCAAAAAAAGCACGTCTTATACCAGATGCTAATTTGCGCTTCTCTTGGTAGATTGCATTAGTCATTATGGAAATGATCTGACTGCATCTGTGTTCTTTAATTTGCACATCGTCAGTAGATCGTGCACTGAACTTTCCACTCCCATCGGCGCTTTTTTGGAATTAGGGTTATTTGCTATGTTTAGTAAATCTGGCCCCAAGTTTTCAAAGAGAATTCGTTTAGCTTCGATTTGATGTCTACATCTCATTAGGCCAGCATAACAGCAAACATAGTGGCAGGGAGATCTGCCAAGTAGTTTGGCAGTGGAGTGAATCTAAATCTGAGGAAAATCTTGGGCAGTTGAACGGGTTTAAACTGGGGTTGTAGGGTACATGTACTGTTTAGTTACCATATAGCTTTTCTACTTCTCAACTAAAAAAGGTCCTGCACCACCTTTTTTTTTAAACAAAGTTTTCTGCTTTTATTTGCCACTTTAAAGACCCCATGAAATAGTTTAACAAAAACTACACATTTATTTAAATAAATAAATAAAATTAAATAATTTAATAAATCATTAATATATATATATAATTTATTTGTTGATTTAAAAATAATATTTCATAAATATACATGGCTACATTGGAATGACCATAAATAATTAAAAAATATTCTCATATGCATAATGGTGTAGTTACATCATCTACCAGCAGGGACTAACTACCGAAGCTAACCAGCCAAACCTGGACCCACTGGGTGACATTAGGGAAATTGCCCTAAACTGATATTTTGGTTCATTTTCTTAGAAAGTCTGAAATTTTGAAATATATCTTTATATACTTTAAGACTGCAATCCACGTTTGATTTCATGAGGCCTTTAGCATTAAGCACAAAAGACAATACTAGGTAAACTGTCTTTAGGTATGAGAGTAGGCTACAGACATGTCACAAACAAACCAACCAACATTTAATGAGACAAAAATCATCAGAATCCCTTGTTATTAAATCAGGGATTGAGATTTTTTTTTAATGTTCGAACTCCCCCATATCCAAATGTGGTGCTTTGAAATGCTCATTTTGATTGGTGCATCTCACTCTCCCTTGCCAAACTAAGAAATGAACAACCTTCATGGTATTCGACCCTGAAAGTGGGCTATTACACTCCAACTAATGTATTAGTATACTAACATAGAAAACTATTTGCAAAATCTTGCAACCTTAAAAAAAACAAGCATTTATAATATTGCACATAATGTTAATCTCACAGAGAAAAATATTTATATTGATAAAGATATGAATACTTATTTCTAGTTTTGTAAGTATCATTCTTACTACATGCATGCTACAAGGAATGTGTACCAGACATGCACCACAAAGGTAGTAGAATATTTCCTATCTCTTAAAAAAGCTATTCAAGGAGGCATCATTTTCAGTATTAACTGATATCGATCAGTTTTATCGAAATTCTCCAGCATCATATTATGAGCAGGATGCACCATGAAATGGCACTAAAATGTAAAAAACAACATAAAAATGCAATAAATAGCGGCAGTGAACTTCATCTTTGGTGACCTGACTAAGTGAGCTAGTGTTTAGCTGTTGTTGGCTGCAATGTCACAGTTAAATGTCTACACTCCTGCAACCCCCCATCAGGCGCTTGTAAGGGTAGATCTTCATTACAAAAGATATTTCTCATACACATGGAATGCTTGGAAGTTTACAATGCTGGGAAAAGTAAGTGACAGAAGGAAATGATGCAATGGAGGGCAGATGCTCATGCATATAGTGGAATGAAGACGATGGAAAAAAGGGCAACTTCAAAACAATTTCCACTCCACTTTCAGGTCTGTTTACTCTAACAAGGGACACACTGAGATCCTAATATGCTGGCAGCGAAAGAGGGAAAAAAGGTCATACAGATAGAAAGGGGGCCACAGAACCGGTCCTCCAGGCCCCCTCGGATTGGTCATGCATGTATTTCTTCGTCACAAGATGGAATGTAATATTTTTTAGGTACCGCACATGGTACACTGTTGCGGCTGGCAGGACAGGCAGCGTTTGTGCATTCACAGAGAAATACATCCTCCATGGTGATTCTTCACGAATATATATTATCTCCTCCATGTTTTATGTGCCACTAATCAATTTGGAGTGACAAAATTCTCATTCTTCCCAGGAACAAATACACTCAAAAAAGACTCAAGGGGTCCTCGGGTTGGCAGTGAATGGGGAAATGGGAGTCAGGAATTGGTCCCTCTATGCTACGCTTGTATCAACTGGTTAGGCTACGATTGGCTACTGTTGCAAGCAGACCGACTTCTAGCACAGTCACACAGAATAGACAAACTCCATGCAGACACTGAACACAAGAATGCAAAACAACGTCCCCAACCAATCAAGTTTCCCACAACTTGCGAGAGGGAATGGAGATGGAATGATGGATAGGTCTTCTTCACTGATCCTTCACTCAAATGGACACATTTCAAATCTCCCGTTTTGAAACTCTTCCATGAGGCATCTGAAGCCTTCAAATCTGGGGTTTGCACACCCCTTCTTTATCTCACCTTCTTCGTTAAAGGCAGTTCAAAACGGTTATACATCTGTAAGCATTTTGGTGATGTTAACATAGTTTGTGTTGGTTAGTGTGCAGTTTCCAGTCTTGATGTTCTCCTCTCGAAAGTCCTCATTGCTGTTGTTAACAGCCTCTTGAATTTCCATGTAGTCAGACTTGCTCATGGTTGACCCGCTGCGGCTCTTTTTCAGGTCCTCTGATGAATCAATCTTGGGGACGCTGGTCACGTTAAGGTACTGGGCCTGTTCCTCGCCTTCTGTCTCTCGATGGTAGAAGTAGTTGAAGTTTGAGACTATGACAGGCACGGGCAAGGCAATGGTCAGCACACCAGCGATAGCGCACAGGGATCCCACAATTTTGCCTCCAATGGTAGTTGGGACCATGTCACCATACCCTACTGTGGTCATTGAAACCACTGCCCACCAGAAGGCATCTGGGATGCTTATAAACTGTGAGTCAGGCTCATCCGCTTCTGCAAAGTAGACGGCGCTCGAAAACAGGATGACTCCGATGAAGAGAAAGAAGATAAGCAGCCCAAGCTCCCTCATGCTGGCCTTGAGTGTTTGGCCGAGAATCTGCAGCCCTTTCGAGTGCCGAGAAAGTTTGAAGATCCTAAAGACTCGTACTAATCTGATGACCCTCAAAATGGCAAGTGACATGGCTTGCTGTCCTTGCTGACCATCCTCTGGCTTCTCTGCTAGCTCCGTGCCCAAGGTGATAAAGTAAGGTATTATAGCCACAATATCAATGATGTTCATTATATTGACAAAGAAGCCTGCTTTGCTAGGACACGCAAAGAAGCGCACCAGGAACTCAAAGGAGAACCATATGATGCAAAGAGTCTCCAAGATGAAGAAAGGGTCAGTAAAGTAGTCGGAGGTGTAGCTAATTGTTGAGTTGGAGTTGGTTGGGTATGTTTTGTGCATCTCCATTTCATCATTGCGAAAAATCGGAAGTGTCTCCAGGCAGAAACTGACTATAGATATGAGAATGACCATGACTGAAATGATGGCAATAATCCGGGCAGGCCCTGAACTTTCAGGATACTCAAAGAGCAGCCATACCTGCCTCTGAAACTCATTTTCTGGCAGGAGTTTCTCCTCTTCCTTAATAAATCCTTCATCCTCCCTGAACATCTCAATGGCTTCTTCCCCAAGCTCATAAAAACGTATCTCCTCAGAAAAAATATCCAATGTCACATTGACAGGCCTTCGCAACCTGCCGCCTGACTGGTAGTAATAGAGAATGGCATCAAAACTTGGGCGGTTCCTGTCAAAAAAGTACTCATTCCTCAGAGGGTCAAAATAGCGCATTCTCTTTTTGGGGTCCCCGAGCAATGTCTCTGGGAACTGAGACAGAGTTTTGAGCTGCGTCTCAAAGCGCAGGCCAGATATGTTAATGACCACCCTTTCGCAGCACTCATGGTCTGGTTCCGGGTCGTATGTGTCCTGTGGCTGACCCGGGTGAGCTGCGGCTTCATCAACTGGGTCGCCCGTCGCAACAGTCATGCTGTGAATAAATGCAACCTGCAGTTCGTTTTCAGAGTGCGACGGTGTTGCCTCTAAAAGTTTGTGGGAAAGGAGCAGGGAAATTTGAGGCTTCTTTTCACTCGTCAACACCTCCCTCTTGCATTAGAACCCAGGAAACACTGGAAGAAATATAAAGCAGAAAAGAAGATTACTTGAGCCACACAAGCATTCTTCAAAACATACTCACTGCAAGAATGCTTAATATGTATTTATTCTATTCTACTGTGGGATTATTTGGACAATGCAGAAAAAACTCTTTTTTATTTAGAACTCAATTATCAAGTTATTCAAACACCATCAAATCTGAAATGAAAGCGAAGAGAGATCAAAGCACCGCACAAGAGCCCAAAGCATGACTACTCAGGAAATACATGTATGGCTCTAGCAAACCAGGGCATCTAAAAACATCCATCAATCATATGGAGAAGTAGCCTGACCACTTTACACATTGTATTTGCTTTTATCTGCCAAGTAGATCAATACTTGCCATGGAAAGACTGTATCATTCCTCTTAGGATTCAATTACACACTGTAAATCTAATAACAGCCTGAGTGCACTTAAATCATAATTGGATATTCCAAAATCTCCCCAAATGCGTTTCACCAAGACAGCAAGACTGCTTGATTTAGAAAAGTTGAAGAAATGCAACACTGTCTACCTTTGTTCAATAGCTAAATATATTTTAAGATAAAAAAAAACACACAATATCATATCAACCATTACCATGTTACATGCACTTCCAATTATGGTTTATATACTTTTTAAGCCTGTATTCTGAAAAAAGACATTTACATGCTTCACAGTTATTGCAGTATTCCTGTATGCGCAAATCATCATAAAATAAGACTTTAAATAAAATATACTTGTTTTTCCAGAAATACTATTTATTGTTTTAGCAATTCTAGATTGTGCAATGAATTAGGAAGGTCACATTGCCCCTAAAAAAGTGTTTCTTCAAAAGCATGACTTTTTACATAATATCATCAAGAATTGCTTAGGATATGCAGGCATAAATGGATGTTCACTTATGGTGGACATTCAGGTAAGGTGTCTACATGATCAAAAATTCTGATTTGGATAGCTACATGCATTCCAGATGTATATAGAAACCAGTATATTGGTTATGGGATTAACATCAGGTTATTATGAAAACATGATGCTTACATAATAGAAATATTAACAAATTCTGATCAGTATTGGATCAGTCCCTATACTGCTCAAACCAGCCTCAGACAGTTTGCTAGTCTAGGCTGGTCTTAGCTGTTTTAAGCTGGTTTAGCAGGTAGGCCAGCTGGTTTCTTAGTCTAAGCATCTGAATCAAATATAGGCTGACTTGACCAGGCTGGGCGGCTAAGTCCAGCAATCCAGCTTAGTCTGGTTTAAGGTTTTTTTCCCTTCTTTATCAGGAGTGTTAATATGAAAAGATAATGCATTGCATTCATTAATTGCATGCAGTGTGTGCGTGTCAAAAAAAAAAAAAAAAATATATATGTATAATAAAAATAAAACACTTGAAGTCAGCTCCAGATCCACAGACAGCAGGCTATAACTGCAATAAGCAAACGGGAGGTTACGCAAGCTTACCTGCAAGCATCAGGAGTCCCCAAAGCGCCGGAGAAATCATTTGCTAAATGATTATGTTTACATGACACCAGCAGAACTAATAAAAACGTCTCGTTGCCAGGGTCAGTGGTGTCTTTCAGCAGCCATTCATTACAGGTACTGCAATGATCCTGGTCTTCCTCCCGCCCGCTGCGCCAGATCTGCTGCGCTGAACGCGAATATATCCACCCGTACGCGCCTTCAGGACAAACGGGAAACATACAGCAGCCTGTCTCAAAGAAACGAACGGAGGCAAAGCGAAGGGGACTCCCTCAAAGTGTTAATGGCAAAGAGATTCCCATTGAAACGGTCCAAAGATGCTAAGGTCAGCAAAACCTGACGCCCCCTGCGTCCTCACAGTGTTGTCTCGACTCAATTCAGAGATCTGCAAAGAAACAGGGGAGCTGTTTGCGTTGGGCGTCGCCTCAAACATGCTCACATTACACACGATAGTAACATTTAACACAAGAGACTGAGGAGAATTGCCTGAATACGTGTGGCCAGTCGCGCTTGATGGCCAAAATGATGCTCTGAGGAGTGGCAACATCTTGTTGTTGAGCAAACGTGCTCATCTTAAGGGCAGAAATCCATAGAGCATCACGTTTCAGATGTTCTCAGTCATAATTTGGCTGTTTGTTTAGGGGTTTTCCCTTGCGCAAAGACAGCGTCCCTTTTTTAAGGTGTTTATATCCAATTGCCCCAAAACAACATTTTTCTTTTTTGATTAAAGGACACATATTCAGATTCCAGGCTCATGCACCCATGAAAAACACATCACACCGGCTGTGATCAGTGTTTTAACCCTTTCAAGCAAGCGCGAGGTGTCTGCAGTGACATGCTTCAGCAATAGGTTCCGATGATCAAAGCATGCCCATGCATTACTGTGCTAAAGGCATTCACGCATTTCGTTTCACTCAAGGCATTGATGCATTAAAGCATGCATTAAAAAAAAAAAAGTCAACCTTCCCGAGTTGTTTTCAAGATGCAAAATATCCATCGAAATATGCACATAGATTCCCCGTGCGCTTACTTGTGTTCTCGTTCATTTTACGGAGGGGCGCGGCGCGAGCGAGACATTTCATGTCAAAGTCCAACTTTTCGTCTTTTACTCATAATTATTGTAAGAGCGAGCGGTTTAGGCTGCAGTTGGGCACCGCTGCGCATACAAAAGGGACTACAGTCAGTGAGCTGTGCTGATCACCACCACTCCTTACTGCTATACAGCGTGGGCAAATTAAAGGGGACGCGCCTCCTCTGCACTAATACAGCTGCTGCTGATGGTACCTCACTACACCACAAGACAGACGCAGGGATCAGTATGAGTTGTATCTGAATAAATCACATTTTATTCATTATGTTAAAAATATGATTTATTCAAAATGTTATTTCTTTTTTGGAACATGTCATATATGTAGGCTAATATTTAAAACTATAATAATATTGATTAGTATTATTATTATGGTAACACTTTACAATAAGGTTCATTAGTTAACATTAGTTAACTACCTTAGTTAACATGAACTAAGAATGAACAATACTTCTTCAGCATTTATTAATCTTTGTTAATATTAATTTCAACATTTACTAATAAGTTATTAAAGCAAATATTGTATTTGTTAACATTAGATAATGCACTGTGAACTAACCTGAACAAACAATGAACAGCTGTATTTTTATTAAGTATCATTAACAAAGATTAATAAATACTTTAACAAATGTATTGCTCATGGTTAGTTCATGTTAGTTAATACATTAACTAATGAACCTTATTGTAAAGTGTTACCATTATTATTTTACAATATAAAGTTGTCATATTACACATTTGCCTTTTAATATTTAATATAATTGTTTATATTAATATCACATAATTTTATACAGTATTTTATATAATTTTCTAAAATATAAAATAATACTCAAAACATACTTTATTCAATGTAATAATGTCAATTAAATTGTTTAATTGATCTTTTTTTCCAATATTAGGTAAATGTATAACATTTATTGCTTTATTTGAAATACATCATAAATACAGTGTAAAGAATGCGAGCCTCTGCAAGAAAAGTATGGAGAATACTCTAGAAGATCTAGACAGGTGGTGCTGGGGAAGGTGGAGGGCTAGGACAGTTCCTTTGCCGCGCTGCACTGAGTTGAACCAGTTTGGGGCGGAAAACAAATAGGTTACGTAGATAGAACAAACATGTACGTTTCCCAAAAGCATTGTTAGCCAAGTATGGTCACAAGTTACATCATTATCAGCATAGTTCAATGAATCATTGTTTCCCGAAACCATAGTTCCAACAAACCTTGCAAACAACATCGCAAAGTTGTGTGGTCTGAATGACAGCTCTCGGCCTGTGGTTAGAAGCAGTTTCTTGTTCGCATGACATGTGGACTTAATAAATCATTGTCTTAAGCAAAATAAGCAAACTGACATATATTGTATTTAGAATATATACCAATGTCATTTACTTCTTTCAGTTTGTCAAGGGATTTAAAGCGCATTTTTTGAAGAGTGCGCAAATGCGTACATGCTCTAGTACGTAAGAACGAGTTTATGATTGAATCTTGAAACAAAGCATAATAACTGAGAATTAATCCTCAGATGCTTGAATTAATGCTTTAATTCAAACTCAAACTGATTAATTAAAAGTAGTTATTACTCCACCACATGCGTGACATCATTAACCAACATGGTTGAACGACAAATTTGCGACAATACCGTTTCGGTAAACAGTCGTGAATTGATTTCTTCAACAATGCATCGTACTATGGTAGTTAAGCAGCGAGTTGCGTCGTTGTATGGGAAACACACCCCAGATCGATTGGCCAAAGCAGCCGGCTTTAGGAGAACCAATCAGCTGCTTGGAAGAGTTTCATGACTGAACTATTTCTCTTCAAATTTTAACACGTGACTAATTATATCCCAAGAATAATTAACAGCACTTTTAAAGTCACAAATGAGTCCATCTATCTCTGCTGCCTCCGTCTTTCACTGTCTGTCAGCTGTAAAGACTGGATTTCAAGCACTAGTGTAAACCATTGAACAACTTTTTGGTGGCAATTTGAATATGGCATATGCATTTACACTCAATATTTAATCCTAACAGCTTGTATTCCTTTGCACACAAATACATTTCAGACTTGCCAGAAACCTGTGATAATCCTTACATAGGCCTGGCGGCTGGAAGACCTGAATATGTCTGTTCATTTATAATGTGAAATGAGGAATGGGAAGCGTGAAGTTGCAGTGGGTGCATTAGGGAGGTGCTGAAGTCTCTCAGGAGACTGTTGCTCTGTTTGTACCAGAGAGAGAGAGAGAGAGGATGAAGTGTGTGTATACCTGCATGCACACGCAGAGAGAGTGACACTGCACACTGACACTGGATGTTTACTAAACCAGCTAAATAAACACCATCTGATGAACTGAGCCAAATAGGTAGCCTTATTGATAGCGCTGGACTGATGTGATGATGATGATTTGATGAAAGTGGGTATTATGGGTAGATGTTTGGAGAAGGAGATGAGGAGATTAGGGTTTGTGGTGACTGGTGGATTTGACAAGGTTGAAACAGTTAATTCAGTCATTATGGTGTTCTTAGAGCTAAGATGTTTTAATTATTATTATTCTTTGTTTACTTTACACACTTAACCCCTCCTGGGACCCAAGAATAGACTTTTGTCCACTGTAGTGGACATTATATTTTAGTGAATTTCTCTGAAATCATACATGTCACATGACACAACCTGGGTGTCCTGTAAAGAGCACATTCAGGGCTTTTCAGAGATACCAAATGTTTGGAGGTTTCACCATGAAAACAACTTCTCCTTGGTCTATAAAAATGTCTGACATTAATTTAGTGATCAAATGTAGCAATATGATAAATATGATAATATATTGTAATTATAATTTAAATTGGACTACTTTTTCAAATTGTATTTCATAAAACAACATCTCAGGAAAATGTTAAGGGGTTTAAAAAAAAATACTTTCTGTTACAGAACAGGGCATTGATTTCAAACGTGTCCACTGTAGAGGACATCAGGACTTAAATCATGTTTATCAGGCATTCTGGGAGACACAACAAGTGAATATGGAAAGAAATTATACATCAATATTCCTATGAAATATATGATATTATTATTAAAATGTTGCCAATTATTACTCCAATTATTACACTTCTTTTTTCATTAAATGTTGCTCCAAGAACACATTAATGTGCAAATTAGATACAGTGATACATTGCATTGAATGGGAATATTAATTTATGGCCATTTTACCCATATATTGCAAAAAGTAAAATGGTGTATCAATTTATTCCATTATTTCTTTCATAACATAGTTGAGAATAATCTTTATATAAATTTTGGTTGAAAAAATCCTGAAACCCCAAAATTTATTGGTGATTGAAAAAAAATCCCAATGTTTTTGCCTATATATATAATTTCATGTCATTTTATTTTTTAAACAACTTAGTCCTGGCGTCCACTATAGAGGAAATAGCATAACGTGTGAATAAAATATTGTTTTATATATATGTGTTTTTTTTTTACCATTTGTTTATTTGTGCTCTAAACAGTGGAAAAAACATGAAAAAAAAACTCAATTAAAAAAACTTTTTTTTCTGGGTCTCAGCTCTCAGGAGGATATGTACACTAAAAGTGAACTTTGTAAAAACAAGTCAGAGGTTACTCTTCCACTGGACCTAGACTTGCGTACGGGTCCATTTTGCCCATTTTTCACAAGTTGGTGTGATTCTTTGGGGTCTTCATGTAAAGTTTGTAACATACTTTGGTTAAAATTCCTCAATGGTTGTGTCAAACAACACCCTTGTTTAACAAAAAACACCCAAAAACAGGGGGGGGGGGGGGGGGGGGGGGGGTGTCGACACAAAATATAAGAAACTAGCAGAAAAGGAACTAGAGAAGCAAATACCGGGTATGCTAATACGGGACAGTCCGTCAGTAGTCGTGGGCGGGGCATGAGCAATATGACATCATATTGCTCAGAAAATCCAAACGCCTTGATTATTGAGAGTTTAGGCTTTTGGAGGATAAAAAAAAAAGGAGTGAATTGATTTTTTTCATTGTATGGTGGTTGTGTCCACACACTGTAAAGACACATTTATATGCAAACACCATAGAAAAGTGAATTATGCATCCGATGGCGATGACCCCTTTAAAAAGTTTTTTTTTTTTTTTTGGTTGTTTGAACGTTAAGGGAATTTTCCATTTTATCTTTTTGCAAACATTATAAGAACGTTACTTTTGAATGCTTGTGAACGTTCTATTAACATTACTGGAAGAACGGAAGGTTCCCAGTGTGGATGGCCCCTTATGCTCAACTAACTACTTAATATACATTTAAACTATAATACATGTTCATTTATTTGTAAATAACAAGCATTTAAGTGTCTGAAAACATTAGCAACATAGTGTCGGCCCAGATCCGGCCCACATCTGGTACACGTGGAACCGCAACCGGATCAGGGCCGACAATATGTTGCTGTCAGGGTATACATTCTGTTCACACTTAAGTATAATACTTCTGTACTCTTTTTAAAAGTATGTCAAAGTGCAGCCTATTTCTTTTTCACAAAAGGAAGCTCCAAACGGATTAAAAACCCCCGTACAACCACGTCTGAGGCCTTTTTTTACTTTAGCTTTTGTGTGAGGAACAGAATGTATTATTCACAGAAAACGTCGCCCTTAAATATCACTATCATACTCAAAGTTGTGCGTCATTAAAAGTTTTAGCATTTTGGCCCTGAACCAAGCACATTTTAGCAAGTCTGAAGAAGACTTGGAATAGTGCACAAGTAGTTTAGACATCTTTTGTCTTGAACCATTCGTTTATTTTCTCCATTTATACATTTTCTAACAATCATACCCATTTGACCTCCTTTTCCACTTCGAAACCAGAATGGAGAAGAAGAATGAAAGCACCTCCTCAAGTCCTCTTCAGCCTCAGTCTGAGAGCATCATTATGACAAATGGATCTGTAGGACTGAAGCTTGTGAAGTGCAGTTCCCAAGATGACCAGACACAGAAAGTAATGTCTACAGAGGGGGGTATGAGGAAGTTCAACCCAAACAGATTCTCTAAACAAATAATGCTAATTCCCAATGGATTCCCTTCCTGAAATGAACTCATCATGGTCCCTTTAAAGCTATATACATTTGTGTTTTTGGAGAAACTAGATAAATGAACTCC